CCTGTGTTCATTGCAGCACTTTTCACAAGTACCAATAGGGAATCACCCTAAGAGCTGGGATACTATTCAGCCTTAAAAGCAGAAATCCTATCATTTGTGTCTCATGAATTAAGCGAGGCACAGAAATATAGATACCGTGTGATATCACTTACATGCAGAATCTAAAACAGTTGTTCTCATAGAATTAGAAAGCAGAAAGGGGGAAGTTACTTGTTTTCTATGGGAAATGGTAACTGGAGGTTGCAGGAACTCACCATGATTCCGTAGGGAGGCAGGCCAGACCACGATGATAACAGTTTCCATTTATTGAGCACCCATTCTGTGGTATTTGCTTTTCATTTACTAGCTCAATAATGATAACTACTATCCTATGCAAGATAGATATTATTATCTCATTTGACAGACCAGGGAATTGAGGCTCAGAGGGGTTAAAGATTGCCCAAAATTACATAGCCAAAATGCAGGTCACCTGGGATCCAAAATATATCCTTTTCTCTCTCCGCTGGCCATTTATTCAACAAGTCTTTATGCAACATCTGTATGCACCTGAAGCTGAGGCGACAGTAGGAGACGGCAGGGACACAGATGGAGGCACTTTCATTCTAGTGGTGCCATCTCTCCTGGCCAGAGTTCTTAAGGGCTCAGCCCCAAAGTTCAGCTCTCCCCCAAGGGGCAGTGTCTCTGCTAACTCTTTGAGTGCGAGGAGTGGTATCAGCACTGGGTAGGAAGCGGATTCCAATGCCACCAGCTATGTGTGGGTCAGTAGCCCTCCCTGTACATCCGCATTTTTCCCTGTGCAGGAAGGGGCGGGCTATATGCTAAGCTCCCTTGACCTGTACATTGGCACCGGCCTGCAACTTCTTACAGCCTCAGAGCCTCAGGCCCAATCCAGACTTTCGGAGAATCATAACGTGCATTTTAATAAGATCCTCTAGGTGATTCATGCACACACTGTAATTTGAGAAGCTCTAGCGAAGTCTGGCTTCTCTTACCTTCTCTCATTTTAATAACCTCTGGCTGGGGCAGTCGCTCACCAGCAGGGGGCGCCGTAGGGAGGGGTTTCAAGGTGCACGGCCTGTACCCAGGTGAATCCTTCCCTTTCTCCTCCCTTCTGGACCTATCCTGCTAGCTAAATTGACTGACTCCTGGGATCCTCGGCTCCTACCTTGACTCGATTGGACTTTGCCAATAGAAAAGGACACTCTCCCCAACTCCTTATGGACGCTGGGAGGCATGAGTCGGCCAGGAAGCTCTAGGCCACTCCTACCTGATTCTCCGCCCACCTCCACTTGTAGGCTGGCCTGGCTGACCGTGTCTGGCTGACCTGTCTATTTCTCAGAGAAGGAACTACTGTTCCGGGACAAGCCAGGAGCCTCTGGGAGGAATTAGCCAGAAAGGTGAGCCCCTTTCTGGGGCACCTGGAGGTGGGTGGGCACTGCAGCGGGGTCACCTGGACTCAGGGGAGGGGCGAGGCCAGAGTGTGGGGATCTTCGGTGGCAGGAGAGGAAAAGGGCCCCTGCTGCTGGGTGCTGCTGGGCTGATCTGTGCACTATAGAAATGTGGGCATCGCTAATGAGCGCTGGCTGTGACTCAGCCGCGGCCTCACTCATCCCAGTGCTTTTATGTCCTGTAATGATAACTGGAGATCTAGCAGATGTTGGGAGGTGCGGTGAGAGCAATGAGGGAGAAGGGTTGAGTTTAACAGATCTGAGCAGCACTTTGCAGCAGGACTCTGGATCTTTGTGTTGGAGAAGGCAACTACCTAGGGACAGGCGATGGCGGGATTCTCAAGAGCCCTCATTTTAGGGAAATGCTATTCAGGACAATCTGGGGCCTGGAGCAAGACAAACTGGAGGAATGAGTGGGTGTGTGTGTGGGGGGGTCGGTATGGAGTTGGGAGGCTCCAATTCATACTTGAATAACTGTAGTGCTGCAGGTTCTGTTCAGCAAAACTGGGGACCATTTCCCCTCCTGGGGCTAGGGGGAGGATGAACTGAGAGTCAATGCAATCTGCAAGAGCTCTCAGCCTGGGGCCCCAGGGCTGAGTTGGGGGAGGAGCTAACCTGCTAGGTAAATGAATGGTCTCCTCTTGAAGGGCTCTGAGGCTTTGGGGGTGGTACATACATACCAGCTTCTCTGGGTGGGGACGCTGGGCCAAGGGACATCACTGCACCACCCAGTGGGGTGGGGAGGATTTGGACTCTGGTCTTGGGAGGCCCCAAGAAGGTTGTTGCTGTAGAAACGAAGTGGGTCTCCCCCCCTTCCCTTCCCACTAGCTGTCTGGTCCCCTGACATTAGTGCATTGGTGGAACCAAGGGCGTGCCGTTAGGTCCTTCTATTTCTTTTTACTCTATTTCTATTTCTTTCTTGTCCAGCTTCATTCCCTCTAGAGGAGGAAAGAAAGGCCTGGGTCAAAAGGATGGGCGGGGAGGGTGAGGGGTGTTTCTGAAAGTCCTTGTCATCCTGGCGCATCCTTCCTTTCTGTCTTCAGTTGGTGCTTAATAGTCCCTGTCCATCCTGATCTATGAAATGAGATACAAATAACACCAGCTCTTTGAGGATCAAATGAGATGAGCCATGAAGAGGGCAGCGGTGCAGAGTGAAGCTCCATAGATCATAGCTATTATCAGAGTTAAAATTATGAATATGGAAGAACCAAAAGAAAGGGATGGAACCTAGGAGTAGCTCGAACCCACCTTCCCACCAGATGTGGGGCACTGTCAGCTCACCTGAGTCACCTGTGTGCCCTGCAGGCAGGCTGGCTGAAGAGGCTGGCGCACTGACCGCAGGGTCAGGTTTTAAGGCACAAGGGGCAATGCAAGCCTCCCTTCCGGTCCACATCTTCAGCGAGGAAGCCCGGTAAAGAGGCCCCGCCTGGAGTCCATCCCGAGGACATAGAGGAGCTTCTGCCCTGTCTGGAAGAGGGTGGGAAGGGGGCTTAGTTTTCCTGGGGAAGGAAAGAAGGTAGGCAAAACCTCAGCTCCAGGTGGGTGGTGTGAGAGAAGGAGCAGGACGTAACGGATGCCAGAACTTTTTCAGTGGAGATCCTGGTGAATCAACCCGAGGGGATTCTGAGGACTTGGAAGGAGCACATCCTGCCTCACAGATCTCAGCCGCCAAGTGAATGAATTCCACTCCCTCAGCAGCTCCTTGAGAGCTGAATAAGACGTCATCTTTGACAGGACCGAACTTCCCACAGTGCCTGATACACAGCTGGTGCTCAGGAAATACTCATTTGGGAAAGCTGCATGTGGCCGCAGATGATCAAGAGCTGCTCAGGCTGGTGGGATGGCGATGGAGAGAGATGCGAGTGGGGGAAGAGACTTCCAAGGGAGGGTTGGTGACCCAGAGAGGTTCTACTGAACAGGAGGGCTGCAGGGGGGACACAAGGCAGGTGGGGAGAAGTGGGAAAAGTAGGAGCCAGAATGAACTTGTCCCATAGAGTGAGAGGGTGTTGGAAATCAGGGGGACTTGAAGGTGGATTAAGGAAGAGCTGGCGTTTCTACTGGAGGCTGCTGGGAAGTCTCCTGTGAGGAGCAGGCCCCCACCTTTGTTTTTCTTTCTTTTTTTCTGCTTCTTTCACTTTTAACTTTTGTTACTCATGTTGTACTGTGTGTTTGCCTGGGAACTACCTTGGGAGTTTCTGGCAGAAGGCGGGGCATAAAGAAACAAACACATTTGGACAGTGCTTATCATCCACGAATGATGTCACAGGACTTCCCTCCATCCTCAGGATCGCCTGGGACATTTCCCCTCCACTTTTAATAACTTTGGAAAAGAATGATAAAGTTTACATAAAATACATGTTTGGTGCCATTCGTAGTCCTTATTCACATCTTCCGCCCTCTCAATTTGCCATGGCCTTTAGCTGTGACCAGTGGGAAGAGTTTGGGGGGTATCCTTCCAGACCTGCACTGTCTTAAGACAGCAGTCACTAGTACATGTGGCCACTGAGCACTTGAACTACAGCAAGTCCCAGCCGAGATGTGCCTTAAGTGTAAAATACACACAGAATTCACAGACTTGGTGTTGGAAAAAGAATGGAAGATATCGCAATAAATTTATATTAATTGACTGCTGAAATAATATTTTGAACGTAGTGGGTTAAATAAAAATAGCATTAATTTGTCCTATTCCTTTTTTAATGTGGCCACCAGAACACTTAAAATTACATATTTGGCTTGCATTTTGTTTTTATTGCACACGACTACTCCGAATCTTTCTCTACACATTTATATCTACACACACACACACACACACACACACACACACCCATAAACCCCTATCTATACTATATACACTTATCTTTTTTGCAGTGCTGGGGATTGAACCAAGGGCCTCTCACATGCTAAGCACACACTCTACCACCGAGCCATGCCCCCAGCCTATGCCTTTTTTTTTTTTACATTAATAAGATCAAAGGAGGCCTATGTGTGTCTTGCTTTTTTCCACTTAAGATTTTGCTGTATCAGCACTTGCAGATCAAGATAAAGTCCTCTTTTTCCTCCTTTTTATTTTGAGACAGGGTTTTGCTAAGTTGTTGAGGCTGGTTCTAAACTTGTGATACTCTGACTCAGCCTCCTGAGTTGCTAGTATGCCACCACACCTGGCCAGGGTAGATATTTTGACAGGTGAAGAAACTGAGGTATACTAATCAGATAAGCATACCCAGCCACAATGCCCTAGATAGCATTTGAACTCATTGTCTAAATGTAAACTCTTTCTGCCTCAGAGTTTATCTTGATGTACTAGGTCATGAAAAGTTTGTCAGAGAGAGAGAGAGAGAGAGAGAGACAGAGAGAGAGAGAGATGGGGGGAGGTGAAGGTCTATGAAAGGAATTGATCCAGCAGCTGTGCTGGAATGTGCTCCTTCACTGCAGCCACATGGAAGCCAAGTCTTGGCTTCTACAAGTCTTGACCCAACCCATTTTTTCCTCCAGGCCCTTGGCCTTGACTGGCACTGGGTGCAGGAGAGCCAGTAGCATCTAGTGACCAGGCGGATGTGCCCCCAGGAGAGTTCCTTCCAGCCCTCCCAGTTCCTCCTGCTGGTGGGGATCCCAGTGGCGAGTGCTCTCCTTCTGGTTCAGTGCCTTCGCTGGTATCGCTCTCGCTGGCTGCTGGGGACCTGTCTGAAGCCAGATGGGCAAGAAGAGCCAGTGTCCCCGTCCACCCCACTACCAGAATATGATGCTCCAAGGCAGTGTCCACCGGCCACACTGCCAGAGATAGCTGCCTTCTACCAGGAATTGCACATGCCCACCCAGGGCCAGACCATCATCCGCCAGCTGATGAACAAACTGTTGGTGTTTTCGGCTCGAGAGGTGGATCACCGCGGCGGTTGCCTGATACTCCAGGATACAGGCATTTCCCTGCACATCCCTCCAGGTAGCCACTCCCAGCCTCCTCCTCGGCATACAGTTGTTGGAACTGCATTAGGACACCACATCTGTTCATAGGCATCTTTTTAATTTTGAAAATTGTTTTTCTAGTTTAACCTTATTGAATCCAAAGACAGACATATTACTTATCTTTTGTGACAGCTTCCTGGCAGGTGGAAGTAAAGTGCCTTGTTCTAGTGACACTATGCGTTGACAATTCTCAGATAAAAGGAAGAGCACGGTTTGCAAATCTACACAAGGCCCTGCATGGGTTAGCAGCAGCCTTGGAAGGATGGGCACTGACTGGTTTAGGATTAGGCCATGAGTCAGCTCATGGCGGTCTCATTCATATGGCCTCTCTGGGCCCTGCTGGGGGCCTCTCCTAGGCTCCTGCCTACCTACTCTCTTACTCTGGCTGACCTCTTTCCGGGGTAAGGGTGCCTGCCTACCAGACCCATCTCAACTCTCCATCTCCCCAGGTGCTGTGGCCGTGGGCCGCCAGGAGCGGGTATCCTTGATTCTGGTGTGGGACCTGTCAGATGCCCCGTCACTGTCCAGGTCTCAGGGACTGGTGAGCCCTGTGGTAGCATGTGGCCCCCATGGAGCCTCCTTTCTGCAGCCCTGCACCCTCACATTCAAGCACTGTGCCCAGCAGCCCAGCTACGCCCGCACCTACAGTAGCGACACCTCCCTGCTAGATGCCAAGGCCTGGAGGCCCCTGGGTCGGCCCGGGGCCCACACGTCCCTGGATGAGTGCCGCATCCTCCTCTCCCACTTCAGGTAGGCACCTGCCCACTGGCCTGTCTTCCTGCTCCCATGTCTCTGCCGCTGTCTTTCCTGACTCCTGTCTCTCTGCCTCATCCTCAGCTCTGTCTAGAACTGCCCCTTTATCTATTCAGGATGGTCTGCAAATCCCTGGGTCCCCCGTGTCCCTCTTTGGGCCTCTGTCCCACTGTCCATGGCATCTTGTTTATTTCCAACATTGTCCGGGGCTGTGCATCCCACTCCTGTCTCTCTGCCTGCCTGGAGGGGGTCTGCTCCATTCCTACTGGGGTCTCTCTGCAAGTGTCTCGACCTTGTGTCTCTGTCCAGTACTATCTCCAAACTACTGAGGCCAGTTTGTCCCCTCCAGTTTCAACTCATGTTTGTCCTCCATCTCTGACCTTCTGGAATGTTAAGGTGTCTGATTCCCCATGTCCTTACCTCTTGTTGATGAGAGCAGGGCCATTTGTGGGGCCCCTCACAAGCATGGGGATTCTGAGCCTACCTTCCCACTCTCCCTGCCACAGAATACTCATTGGCTTTCCTCTGCACTCAGTGAGGGGCACCAGGACATATTCACTTTGGGACACCTCTAGCAGCCAGCCCACCCCTCTCCAGGTCCTCTCCATAGGTCCCTCTGGAGTGTTCTCTGCACCTCCTGGGAGACCTGCACTGGGCCCTTCAGGTGACAGGAGCCTGGTGGTAGATGCACTGGGGTCTGGCGTTTCCCTGCCCTCCCGTGTCAGTCCCTGCCACCATCTTCCTCTGCAGCCTGTACACCTGCGTGCTAGAGGCGCCTGTGGGGCAGGCTGCCCGTAAATGGCTGCAGCTGGCCGTCTTCTGCTCGCCGCTGGTGCCTGGGCAGTCCCACCTGCAGCTGCGTGTTTACTTCCTGAACAACACGCCCTGCGCCCTGCAGTGGGCGGTGACCAACGAGCAGCCCCACGGTGGGCGCCTGCGCGGGCCCTGCCAGCTCTTCGACTTCACTGGGGCCAGAGGTGACCAGTGCCTGAAGCTCAAGTACATTTCTGAGGGTGAGGCGGGTGGGGCCTGGGAACTGGAAGCAGGGAGCCCCATGAGAAAGAGGGGTCCGTGGCCGCCCCCTGGGCTGGGAACCTGGGAACCCTAAGTTTCTTTCCTGGACTCCTGGGCCAGCAGCAGCAGCAGCAGAAAGGAGACCTCCTGGTTTCTGCTGCTGCCCAGAAGCTTCCAGGCTTTGTCCTCTTCCTCCCTCTGCTGTGCGCCCAGCCCTTGCTCCCCACCCAGGACAGGGTGATGCCAGGTGGGAGGTGGGTGGTGTTGTACCCTGCAGGAATGGGGGAGGGGAAGGTGGAGGCTTCTATTGTCCCCCTGGGTGGACCTGGCACAGGAAAGGGCCTCCAGTCTTTCTCTGGGTCCTCTTGCCCTTATGCTAGGGCTGCTGGCATTGCCCAGGGCAAATGCCACACTATATTTGTGTGGTTGCGGGCAGGGCACACGGTGGTGGTGCATGGCTGCTTCAGGGATGGATGGGGGATGGAGGCTGCAGGGAGGGGGAGAGGAGGGAGTATGGGGTACAAGGCCACTTTGGTTCCCTGCCCAGGTTCTGGAGATTTCCATCCACTGAGACCCTCCTCACTTGACTCTTCCCACAACTTCCTTTAAGATTTGTGGAAGGCCCCACCTTCTGAGCCCCTCTGCCCTCTCTCCCCTCCCCAGGTTGGGAGAATGTGGATGACAGCAGCAGCCAGCTGGTTCCCCATCTCCACATCTGGCATGGAAAGTGCCCCTTCCGCTCCTTCTGCTTCCGGAGAAAAGCAGGTAGTCCAGGAGCCCCGAACCCTCCTGCTCCCACCCACCAACAACCCTGATATTCTGCAGCTCTATGCTGGGCTGTGCACATAGACTTTCTGTTAAGGGAGTCAGTGCAGATCTTTGCAGTATCGGGCCTCTGCTTCTTCAGAGCCCTAGTGTTCCTGTAGAGTCCCTTTGACATCTCCTCCCCTCTCACCCCAAGTCTTTTCCTCTCACATCTGTCACTTTCTACCTCCTCTTTTTAGTCAATGAGAACGAGGACTGCTCAGCATCAACCAATGAGATCATTGTCACCATGCACACCTTCCAGGATGTGAGTTGTTATTGAGGGGCAGAAGGAGGGGAGGGCCTGTGACAAGTCCCAGGTAAGGTGGGCCAGGGGTCTGGTACCTGCTGAGTATGGTCCTAATCACATAATCAAGTAGATAAAGATGTCATTTTCCACAGAGTAGACATCTCACTCCCTTGTCTGTCAATGGAGGAATCCAGCGGGGAACAGAACCAGATGGTAGATTAGCCCTTCTCCCACCTCAGGGACTGAGGCAGCAAGGAGACCTGGTGTCTCCTAGGCTGCCTACATCTGAGAGACGAAGCCTGGTATCTCCAGTGGGAGAGTGACCAGGAAGGGGGCTTGGAGTAGGTGGGAGGGAGTTAGTTCTTTCCTCATCTCACAGCCTCAAAGGACTATATGAAGAAATCAGGGGGGTTTCATCTGAGTGGAAGGTAGACAGGTACCCTGATGTTGTCTCTTGGGAGGAAGGTGGGATGCAGGGAAGGGGGCACAAGCGCCTGAGTTTGGTATCTCCCCCTGCCCCATGACCGCATCCAGGATTTCTCATGGTAGCTTAGGATGCACCCTGTATGGGTCTTCGTGTTCCAGTCCCCAAAGAGCTCAGTGGTTCAACTTGAGGTTGAATGTGGGGTTCTGGGGTCAGTGAATTAGAAGGAAGAGAGGGCTGGGTGGGGCATTACCTCCTGGTAAAGTGGCTCTGGGGCACAGGGTGAATCAGAGACACAGAAATAGGGGTAGGCTCTCAGCTTCTTCCAAGGGGAATGTCTTATGACCCCAAGTGTATTCATTGCCCCTCCGTGAACTCAGGGCTTGGAAACCAAGTACATGGAGATCCTCAGATTCCAGGCATCAGAGGAAGAGTCCTGGGCAGCACCACCCCCTGTCTCCCAGCCACCCCTGTGCAATAGGTGAGGTGAGGGGTGACCTTTCTGCCTGGGGGATGTTGGGATTCCTTCCCCAGCACCTACAGGGCAAGTACAGCGTTTGGGGGTCTCTTTGATTCTTCCCTCCAAGAACACCCTTTCCCCCTGGCTCAGGCTGCCCCCAGAGCTCTTTGAGCAGCTGCAGATGTTGTTGGAGCCAAACAGCATCACGGGTAATGACTGGCGACGACTGGCCTCTCACCTGGGGCTCTGTGGCATGAAAATCCGGTAAGAAGGGTGAGGTCTGCAGATGGAAGTGGCGGGTGGGTTGGGGTAGGGAATCCTCAGGACACCCTGGGAACTGGACCACAGATAAGGGGATGACTTAAAAGAATGACAGCAACTACTCCCTACCCTCTTCCCCGTAGAAGGGTAGCTCTACTGATCACTGTATCCTCAGTACCTAGAGTAACACCTGGCTCTTAGTAGGTCACAATAAATGAGTTAACAATGAATCAAATATCATGCAAGTCACTGGGTGCTCATGATTACTAGCAGATAGTGTGTGTAAAGCATGTGGCTAGGCGCCTGGCACATGTATACTCAATAACTCTCATTTGTGGTGGCAGTGCAGCCACAGTCCCTGTCAAAGGAATTCACAAAGAAATTGTAGAATAATTCTGAACCAGGTCCCAGAATCCAGGCTGTGAGTGCAGGGGTCAGGGAAGGCTTTCCCAGGAGATGGGGCTATAGTAGGGCTTTGAAAATGGTGGGTTTAAAAACCAGCCATTTATTTAAGCATTTCTTCAAGACCCACTATGTCCTGCTAGCACTGCGATACAAGAATGACAGCCGGTTCCAGTTCTCAGGAGCTCATATCTTGTGTAGTAAGGGATGCAGAGAGTTTAAAAATAAAGTCAAGTGATCTTTGTGCCTGCTTGTGTGCATCTACCACAGTTGCCTACCACACTGGGAAAATACACAATAGCTGAAGAGCTAGCTATGACCAGAGGAACCTGCAATTAGGGCTTCAGGGAGGAGGGGTGGGAAGAGAAGAGAGCCCTTGTCTGAGGGGAGCAGCAGAGGTGTTTGTGGGTGTGGTGTGTGCAAGGTGGGACAGGGACAGGCCTCAGGAAAGGAGGCTCAGGGTGGGCGGGGGTGAGCCAGAAAGTCAGGAGCACTGGCTTGTTCAGTGGGCAGAAGACTCTGGAAGATTTTTGAGCAGCAGAGAGTCATGATAAAATCTATGGTTTAGAGCAACTGTTTCCTTTCTGGTGGGTAGAATGCTGTGGCCTGGGAGACAGAGGGGAGCCATTAAGAGCCTGGGTGAGGCAGGAGTGTGTTTGCGGTGGGGGAGGAGAAGGCAATCACAGAAATCAGAGCAGGAAGCAAGCTCAGAGGTCCTTTCATCCAAGCAGCTGAGGCCCAGAGAGGAACAGAACCTGGGAGTTAGCTTCTGAGCCCCAACAATCTGAGGTTTTAAAATCCTGGGGCCTCAGGCCACCCAAGTCCCCTGGACCCTAGGGAGAGCAGGAGGAGACCCAGAGCTAGGCTGGAGAGGAGGGGGGGTCGCAGTTGTGCCTGGAGGAGAGGGAGACCCCTCTCCAGCTCGCTCCTCCTGGCTTGGGCCAGGTTCCTGTCCTGCCAGCGCAGCCCCGCCGCCGCCATCCTGGAGCTGTTTGAGGAGCAGAATGGCAGTCTGCAGGAGCTGTACGACCTCATGACCGCCATGGAGCGGCTGGACTGCGCCTCGGTCATCCAGAACTACCTGAGCCAGACACCCAGAGGCAGCCCAGCCCCCGCCCGTGGGGCCGCCCTGGAGAACCAGGGCTTGGAGCTGGACGAGAAGCTCTGAGCGTCTGCTCTCGGGGGCGGGGGAAGCCGGGGGTGTGCTCTTCTGCCCAGAGAGAAAATGGCAGCTTGATGGACGTGCCCGGAGTCCTCTTCAGAAGCCACAGTCCATGTCCAAGGCCATCCAGGATACCGGAGCGCTCTCACCCGCGGGCTGCACCCCGACCGCCCCTGCGCCCACGAACTTTGTTCTGCGTGCAGGTCCTCTCTTGGCCAGCAGGGGGCGCGGGAGCCCAGGAGATGGCCACAGTCCGGCCAGCCTCTTGGAAGCTATTTCATAGACCAGTGGTCTGCCAGGTTGCCCCATGGGCACCGCATAGCAACAGTTTAGTCTACAAGGGTTCACTGAGCACTTAATAAGACCCAGCACTGGGCTGGGGCACTGGCGAGTACTGGAGTATCTGAGGTGAGGCCTCGACCCTTGACCAGCACAGGTTCCTTGCAGGAATCAAGATGACCTTCACATGAGCAGAGGGCAAATTCTAAAATAGCAGGTGCCTGTGGTTAGGGCGTGTGGTGGTCTGCTGTGGACTGTGCTTTGCTTTAGGAATCAAGAAGGGAGGGACGTTGAATATGGCCCTGGGGTAAGGAGAGGGTTTTAGGGAGGATGTTGGGTGGTGTTCAGTTGGATTTAGGGGAAAGAGCTCAACTGTGCACAGTAGGAGCCAAGAGCAAGCACAGAGGACCGGAGACATTAAAGAGCTGCCCGGGTGGGCATGAGGGAGGGTGGCAGGAAGGTTTTAGAGCTGGGCAGTCACATCTACTGTCCACAACCTCCCCTCGTTTCCTTTGCCTCTCATGTTCCAATTCATGCCTGTCTTCCCCTCTCTGCAGTTCTCTCTCTCATAAAGCATTCAAGCTGAGAAGAAGCTGCAAGATTAACATTCTTGCCCAGTCTTTATATCTCTTCACCTCCAACTGTGTGAGTTTTAAGTCTCTGACTTCATTTTTTTTTTTTGCCTCTATTTCCTGCTGTTGTTCCATCTCTAAATCTGCTCACTGACTGCCTTAGCATCTTTTTTCTCTACCCAGTTCCTGTGCCCTGTCTTTGTGGGTTTCTTTCTGTATTTGAAATCCTCAGTCATTCCCCTCAGGCAAATGTCTCCAAACCAATGTTAAGCATATTGGAAGAGACTGGGCTACCCCAGGAATGAATGGGGCTATTTTACCCATGAAAGAAGACCCAGATTAAGGTCAGAAAATAAAGAAAGGGGTTGAAGAATGTCCCACTCAATCATCAAATACTTATTTAGCACTTACTGTGTGTTAGACACTGTATACAAAAGAGATGGATGGGCTGGGCCCTGAAAGGAGAACAGAGGATTTGACTGGATTCTAGCAATGCTTTTGTTTGCAAACAGGTGTTGTTAATCTGTTGAAGGGACAGCAGTCTCTCTGGCAACCCTAACAATTTGCTTCTATACTTAATTAAAAATATTAATGCTTTTTTTTTATAATGAATGCTATTGTATAGTAAAATATGAAAATTGCCTTTTCATAAAAACAGACACATAGATCCATGGAACAGACTAGAAGGCAAACAAACACACACAGATACAGTCCTCTGATCCTTGACAAAGATGCCAAAAACACATCGGAGAAAAGAGAGCCTTTTGAACAAATGGTGCTGGGAAAACTGATTATCCATACGTAGAAAAATAAAACCAGACCTTCATCTCTCACCTTAAACAGAAGTCAACTCGAATCACAGGCCTAGGATTTAGACCAGAAACCATGCAACTCCTGGAAGGAAATGTGGGGTCAATACTCCAACACATAGGTGTAAGCAGAGACTTCCTCAATAGGATTCCTGAAGCTCAGGAAATAATACCAAGAGCTCATAAATAGAATGGCATTAAATTAAAAAGCTTCTGCACAGCAAAGGATATAAGTTAGAATGTGAAGAGAGAACCTACAGAATGGGAGAAAATCTTTGCTAGCTACTCTTCTGAAAGATGATTAATATCCAGAATATATAACAAACTCAGAAAAACTTAACACCAAAAAACAAAATAAAACAAACATCCCAATTTTAAAAATGGGCAAATTAACCAAATAGACACTTATCAAAAGAAGAAATACAAATGGCCAACACATATGGGAAAAAAATGTTCAACACTAGCAATTAGAAAAATGCAAATCAGAATGACACTGAGATGTCATCTCACTCCAGTTAGCATGGCAACCATCAAGAATACAAACAATAATAAATGCTGGAGGAGGTGTGGAGAAGAAACACGTCCTTTTACTTTGGGTGCTGGGGACTGAAACCAGAAGCACTTTACCACTAAGTCACATCCCAGCCTTTTTAATTTTGATACATGGTCTCACTAAATTGCTTAGTGAGACCTCAGCCTCAGCCTCAGCCTCCCATGTTGCTGGAATTATAGGCATGTGCCACAGTGACCAACTGAGAAAAAGGAACTTTTACGCTGTTGGAGGGATTGTCAATTAGTAGAGCCACTATGGAAATCAGTATGGAGGTTTCTCGAAAGAGTAGGAATGGAACTACCATATGACCCAGCTCTACCACTTCTTGGTATTTGTCCTAAAGAATCAGCATACTGTAGCCACACATGCATACCCATGTTTATGGCAGCACAATTCATAATAGCCAAACTATGGAACTAGCCTAGGTGTCCATCAGTGGATCAGTGGACAAATAAAATGTAGTATATGAAGGATGGAAAACAGCAACCCCCAGGGAAAAAGGGACCAACAACCTCCAAGGAGAAAGGAGGACCATGGTTCCCAGATGGAGCAGGCAAACAATGGGCTCTGGACTTTCACCACTTCCCAGCAACAATGGACTTTGAGTATTCACAACTGCTCCCCCTGAGCTGGGCTTTGAACTTGCACAAGTGTTCCCCCTGACCGACCAAACAATGCATTCTGCTATGATTCAAGTTCCACTTAAACCCTATAAAAATCAGATCTCTCTTGTAACCAGTTTCCATTTTGTCTCCTGAACATGTGCCATTCCCGTTGCTTAATAAAGAAAGCCTTGCTGATCCGATGAGGTCTGTCCCCATTTTGGTTATTTTTGCTTTCAGTACCTGTGTACATGGGGCTTTATTTAGTCATAAAGGAGAATGAAATTATGTCATTCGTAAGCAACTGGGTGGAACTTGAGGACACCATGTTAAGTGAAGTAAGCCAAATTGAGAAAATCGAAGATCACATATTTCCTCTCATATGTGGAAGTTAGAAAGGAAAAAGGGGGGGAAAAAGAAGGTGATCTCATGAAAATTGAAGGGAGACCAATGGAGTACAAGAACAGGGAGGGGGAGGAGGAAAAGGAGAAATGCTGGGGAATGCTATTGGCCAAATTATCTGGTCATGTCGTGTGCATGTACAAATATGTAACAGTGAATCTGTACAGGGAATTATGTATAATTACAATGCACCAATAAAAAATGTAGAAAAAAAGAAGAAAATTGTCTTTCTTTGTTTTTAACTGTATTTTGCTCTGATTGGTAAATTTGAATGTGGGGATGAGTAGTTAAATTATACCCATGGATAAGGGTTAGAGGGAAGCATTTAGTAGGTTGTGCTTTCGGTGTGAACATCGTCCAGCATGATCAGTCAGGCAGATTCATTTCCCTTTCTGTAGAAGCAAGGTACAGAGTTGGGCTCCACTTGTCCTCTCCTCTCTTCTTTCCACCCCACCAGGGGCTGCTGATCACTCTGGGTTGGCTCCTTGGCCTTTATCCCATTGCTTGGTTCAAAATTGACCCATGAAGGCCGCCTTCCTCCCCTGACACCCTTGCTCTGTTTTCTTATGGTCTCCCATGGGCTCTTCCCAGCCCTTCAGTCCAGTCAAAGACATCTTTGCATTCCTTCCTACTCCGGAACAAATCATTTAAAAGGTTTCAGGTCTCCACGTGTTGTGAACAGAAACCGTGGGGGTTTCTGGGATGGGATAGAATGCTTTCTGGTCCAATTCCAATTTCTCAGAACGGGTTCCCAGGGCTGGCAGAGGGATGCTTAGAAATCCTGGGGCAGGTGCAGGCTGGGTGATTCCCACAGAAGGGTCCATTCCTTTCTCAAATCAAACCTGTATGTATTTACAGCACCTAAAGCTGAGACAAGATGTGTTCTAAGGGGTGTTGGGGACTTAATGCTTAGCCATGGCTGTTGGGCTGACTCAACAGCTCTCATGTCTGTGGGCATGAGTCTCTCCACCCTTGGAACAAACTGACCATATTACAGGCTCGTCAAGGGTCCCCTTTGAGTCCACAGACTGTGAAGAGATGGCACACTGATGACCCAAGGAAGATTCACTGAGCTGGAGAATTTTCCTTTGTGTGTTGCCTTTGGAGGGAACAATTGATCACGGCTTTATGGCCTCACCTCTAGCCCTTTCCTTAATAGGTTACTGCCTGGTCCCTAAAACAAATTCATGACTTCTGCCTTGTGGGTATCATAGTATGAGAAATAGAAAGTCTAGGGGTCCATTTTCAGAATACAGTTTTTAGCTTTAAGTGTAAAATGACTTGGGATGTAAGAAAGGCAGCTGCAGGGGCGAGCAGAATGAAAAATCACAAGCAGTTAACACCCAGGGTACAACTTCACCGCCCCTTGACAAACAGGAGGTGAGAGGGAACCACCCAGCACCCAGCACCGACCAACAGAGAGAAACTGTATGTGCCCAAAGGTGCTCAATCCAAGGGGACTTTAGTGCCCCAAGAGAACAAAGTGGGGTGGGGGTGGGGGAGGTGGAGACAACTAAAGGTATATTTTGTAAGCCAGTAGGAGACAGCAAGACCTAGGTGGTGTTTGGGGGAATTGTGCACCCCATACTACCCAGCCAATGAGAAACTAGGGAGGGATCTTGTGCTCTAGGGGATAAAACACTATTTTTTTTTTACCCAATCTGTGTGTCCCTGACCACCAGGCACCAGATCTTGCAAGACCATTACTAAAGTAGAACCTCCCTTTGGTCTTCCTTGTATCTCTGGGTCCATTCTTTGGGCTTGGATAGGTGAGCATGTTTCTCACAAC